ACCACAAACACAGGAACAGCAGAGTTAACACTCTTAACACGGCCAGATTTAGGCATATCCCTGTTACTTCGACTCCAGAGGGCAGGGAGAGGGAAATCAGGACCAATTTTGTCAGCACCTAATTAAGGAGCACTGCAAAGTAGTCTGGGTCCAATCCAAGCATTTATAGCACAGTTAAGACATTCAAACGCATCCAACAATGATCCAAAAGTAGCACTGGGCACAGAACAGCAAAACAGACACCATCTCTTATCCCGAAAAGCAGGCCTTTGCTTCCTGAACAAATTGGGAAGTTATTACCTTTACTATCCACCCCTGCCAGAGTATGGTTTGCATGCTCGCTTGAAGGGTCTTCTCAGAAACTGTATTTAACGTACGTCTGCTTGTTATAACTGATAGCTTCTTTCTAGTACTAAAACCTTGAGCTCAGGCTCTTTACTTAACCTAAGTAGGTGAATACTTAAGCACTCATGAGCCTCTGCAACTCCTGTTCTTGAATTCAGCAGGGAAAAAAAACCCACATCAAACTGAATGCTGGGTAATCCTTTACACGTCAGTAAGACCTTTCCACAAGCCCGAACTCTCTTTCCTCTACGGGCATGCAGCTTTTCAGGTAAGCTGTAAACAAAACTCACTCTAACCATATTTGACGTTCTTACTGTCTCTTCATTTAACGCCATCAAGACACCATGCTGCAATTCCCCCTCCAGCCAAGTTAATCCCTCCTATCGAGATACCTGCTCAAGGGTGTACTTTCCTGCAGGTTACTCGAGATGTAAAACAGGTTTTACACAACGTAGGTGACTTGCTCCGACCCAAAGCAGTAGCGAGTATTCCAGACCAGCCTTATTCCTCCTAAGGCGGGTGCTGGATGCGGTGCTGGCCACGTCCAGCACCCACAGCTGCAAACCCAGAGCGCAACGCTGAGACAACTGGCGCAGTCCCCTCAGCGCTCGTGCGAAGTACCTCACGGGTTTCTCCAGCCTCGAAATTACTTGCGCCGGTACCGCAGCGCCCGTACGTTCCCCAGACGGCGCAACTAAGCCGGTGGGCGGTTGCCCCCAGCTCCCTCCTAGCTCAGCCCCAGCAGCCGCCGCCCGAGAAGCCCCGGAGGCGGAGACC